TTTATACCGATATTGATCAACAAATTATAGTAATATCGGTATATAAAATTTCTTAATATACCGATAACTTGATATACCGATATTTTTTCTCAAAACAGCTGTATCGTTACATAGAGGTTTGACTGTAAACTCTACGTAAATTCAAATGTGAATTATATTAGTATAACTCAGGATCCTATCAGATGCTTGACATATATTTACTTTCCCAGTCTCTGATCCATCTCCTTCTTCTTTAGGGGTTATTTGGCTTTTACTTCACCCAATTCTCTCATGAGGAATTAATACATATGCCTGTTTTTTGCTAAACTTATATACTTTTTGAAGACGATCACGAGCTTGTCTAAACTTATTTTGGATTTAGCAAAACAGTTAAACCTTTAGTTTCGCTAAAACTATTAATGAGGATAATGAAAATGCAACTGATAATAATTCAGATAATGTATGAGGGATGTAGCAATAATAATAAATCAATTGAATAATGCAAAAAAAATCATTTTTAGAATTATAAACTTATATTTTTAATTTTATTTATTAATAAAATCTTTATTTATCATTATAATTGATATATGTAAACACAATAAGATAATATTTATAAAATAATTTGAGTGGTATTCTAAGAAAAAAATTGATAAATATCCAATTTAGCTTAACATATATATTCTTTCACTTTGATTTGATTGGCCAGTTTTTATGTGACAATAACGAAATTATCTGATTTGATTGGCCAATTACATGTGACAAAATCGAAATTTTGTGTACCCTGGACAGGAAATTTATACTTCCATATACAATAGTCGCTTTCCAATTTTAACCACTGAGGTTTTTTTATATAATTTCATAACTTTGACGCTCTAAAACATATAGCTTCAAAGGTTCAATCATAGTTCTTGACTTGCCCGGTGCAAAGATTATATACTCGTTTAAGGATAAACAATATTAGCAACAACAAGGACTTTGCTCCTTTTACTCTCTCCTTTATTTCCTTTTTACTTTCTTTTCGTCAATCCTCCTTTTATCGTTTTCCGCAGTTTCAAAGCCTCTTGCGTTGAAAAAAAATTCTGGCTTAGCCTCAAATTTTCTGTTTACTTTATTCTAGCTTTGTATATCTTTTGTAAAGACTTCGCCTCATTTGTTTGCGAATCCCGTTTAATGAGCTGGATATTTGAAAAAAAAAAAAAAAAAAAATTTTTGTTGAATTTGCTTATCGCAAAATTTATTGTTCGAAAAAAAATTTTTTTCAACATTTAAATAAACGCTGATTCTTTGCCGGCTCAATAGTCTGGAACGTGGGGTTATAAATAATACAAGGATAAAAGCAACTATTGTCTTTAAATTTTTTAATTGTTGATTCTGAGTCATACTGAACTTTTTAATCTAGAAAATTTTGGATGAATAAGGGCATTGTAATTTATTAAACAATTTACATATTTATTTATTATTTTCTTTCCTTTCTTTTATTGGCACAGCCTAAAATAAAAGATTGAATTATGGCTTACTATAATAATAATAATGATGATGGCTATTATCCTCAGAACACTGGATACTATGGTCCGAATGATAATATTAATGGTAAATTTCTCGACCAAAGAGGAAATGCTAATGTTGACAACTTTTATAATAATAATGACCATCAACCACAACATATTAATAACCCGTCAACTAATTATATCAATAATAACAATTATGATGATGGTGGTGGTGTATATCATGATCCTAGGAATGGATTTAGTAATAATGATCCATATTATCCCACTAATAAATCTCCAGTTCCTGGCGATGGTGCATATGGTGATTCAGGGTATTCTATTCCTTATAATATGCCATTACGTTCTAACTCTCAAAATCAAAATTACGTCAATCCTTATCCCGTTTCTTCTAATGAACCAAAACCCTTCCAAAATAGTTATAACAGTCCTACACATTATCCTTCTTCCACAATAAACTACCCAACTTTCCCAACTGTGAACGTTCCTCATTCACCAATTAATTCGATTCCTGCTCATCAAGTTCCATATCGTGGCCATCCAACAGATTCTGGTTCAACACCTAAAGAAATGTTACCCTCTAATTATTCTTCTATGCCCTCATCAAACCCTGGTCCAAAACCACCATCTAATTATGGTTATGAGAAACCTTTTGGCCAGTCTAGCGAGCGTTCTAGTAAACATATTCTCCCTGAAGAAGAAAAAAACGCAAAGCCTGGTGGTATTATGAAAATTTTTTGTTGTCGCAATACTTGTGCCAAAACTTGTGCTATTATATGTTGTATTCTACTTTTCCTAATCATTGGAATTGTAGCTGCTGTTTTATTATGGGCACGTCCTCCAAAAGTTGAATTCTTGGGCATTGTTCCTTCACCTAAAGGTTTACCTCCTTATGAAGCCAAGGCTTCAGGATTTGATTTTAACTTTGGTTTAAAAATCTCAGTTGATAATCCGAATATAGTTGGTGCAAATTTCAAAATGATCCAAGCTACTGTAAGATTTCGTTTCCCACTAGATAATTTTTTTTTTCCTTAAAAAATAAATAAATATATATAGATATTATACTTATTTTTAAATTACTTTAGGCATTTTATCCAGGGCATTCTGAACCAATCGGAGGCGGAAATTTGACCAATGTAAAAATTTCAAGTAAAGGCAATACTATCATCGAATTTCCATTCTCTGTCAACTATGATAAAGATATTGATCCAGGATTTGTTATTCTTTTTGACATTGCTCGAAAATGTGGATTAACTGGAGGAGAGAAAGAAAAATTGGAAATTGATTATAAGTTAACACTTACGATTAAAGTTCTTTTAATTACAATAAATCCAAGTTTTGATAAGAAAGCTATGATTGATTGTCCAATTAAAGTAATTTTTATAACTATTTTATTTTATTTTTTTTATTTACCGAAAATATTCACAAAATTTCTTTTAATTAGGACGGACAAATTCCAAACATACCAGGATTCGATATAGGAAAAGCTGCAAAAGAATTTAATGGTAAAAAAAAATAAGAGAAATTATTAAATGACATACCAAAGCGACCTGATAATTAACACGAGCTGTTCATTATAAAAGGAAAAGAGAGATTTGGTGGTATGATATTTGTTAATATAGTTATTTATAATATTTATTATACAAAAACAGTCGAGACATTACTAGATTATTTAATACAAATAATAAATAATTAATAATCTTAATTAAATCATCTTGTTTAATTTATGTAATCATTTTTTTACTGATAATTTTTATGCGATAAACTTACTGTTCACGATACATTTCTTAAAATGTGTTATAAGTTTTAATGACGTGACCCTTGATTTTTCCTAGCAGTTTCCTTCCATGCCATTAAGGTTGGGCAAAATAAATTCTTTTCTGAATACAAAAATTAGAAAAAATTTTCGATTTTCACTTTGCAGAAGAAAGGGAGGAAATTCTATAAAAAAATTATTTTGAATTAATGTTAAATCTGAATTTATTTTACTAAAAAATCCTTTTTTTAGTTTCTATAGCAAAACTCTATATGATAAATTTATCAAATAAGATATATAATTTGCCTGCTTATTTATTATAAATCCTTTTCTGATTTTATATAAACCTTTTTTTTTAAAGAAATATGTACCGTTCCGAAATTAAGCAACGATTTTTTTTGCTTAATTTCGGGTAAGGCCTGACCAACTAAGATTCGTTTTACATAACAGGATATCGGGGTTAAAAAAAAAATACAAATATAAATTATATGCAAAATTGATTTATATAGTTTTTGTATTAATAAAAAAATGGTGTAAAATTTAAATACTATCTCATAATTCAATTTTTTTTATATATAAAACACATTTTCTAAATTAATACAAAATATTAATAAATTAATAAATAATGTAAATTTTCAAATTTTATTATATTATAATTTTACTATAGATTTAATTAGTAAGGAATATAATTAATTGTTTTTCTTCTTATTATTATTTACTTAACTTTCAAATGAATGCTAAATTCCTTGTTCTTATTCTAGCACTTTAATATAATGGATATACTATTTTAATTATAAGGTGGATCAACTATTTGTATCACAATAATAACATATATCAAAATTTTCTGATTTTTAGCTAAAATAATAAAGAATTTCTATAGGAATATTATAAGATATTTTTATATGAATAAACAATATTCCTATCAAGTAATGATTATTAGAAAAGAAAAGTGCATTATATAAATAATTATATATATCTAAAGCTTATTTAAAATACTGTGTTTCCTCTTGTCTTAATTTTTATAAGAAATTTAAATAAGGTAATAATATATTTTCAATAAGATTTGTATATATAATTAATAATTTTATATTACAATTTTATATATTTTATAATGATTTATTTTTTTTAAAAAGAAAAGCTCTTTTTCATTATTGGATTTTATATATTTGTTCAAAGATGATCGCAACTTAGCCTGCAAACAAAATAAAAAAACCCATATTTCAAAAATATTCATATTTTTATTTTCCTAATCCTATTCACATAAAAATTACTATTAAAGTTTAAACTGTATTGTTTTTTGTTAAAATATTTTTTCTTTACCTCTCTTCGGTATATTTTTTTTCTGTTTTTTCATTTTCTAAATTTTTTGTTTATAAAAGTAAGTATCAAAGGGGTATTCCAATCAAAAATTAGGGTTAATATACTTTGGATACACAAATTTACATGATGATATTTTCCATTCCTTTCTAAATGATAATACAGTCAAACCTTGATATAGCGAACCCTTGATATAGCGAATTTTTAAATCAAATATATTAAAATTACCTTACTATAGTGAACTAGCCAATTAAATTCTTTAAAAAATTCATTATAAACTTATAACGAAGTTGATATCCAGATCCTAGAATTCGTTATATTAAGAGTTTACTGTACTTCTTTTTACAAATCTCTGAAGTCAAAGGCTGCAAAATCCTACGTAGTATTTTTTAGACTTGATCAACTATGTGATTTGAGCCTCATTCTGTATCAGGCAGATATTTAGTATTGGAAGCAATAGACTAAAGAGCCTCTATTAGACTTAGTAATATAAATAAATGTATTTGTGTTGAGTGGTCATTATAATCTGAAATTGATTGAATAACTTAGCTAGGAACTTAATAGAGTTGTATTTTAAGTTGCTTCTTTTTGTAAATTCTTTAGCATAGATGATCAGGTTTTATAATTAATTCTTTGGAAAATATATACCATTAGTTAAAGAATTATTTTTTTTGTTTTATTTTTAGAAATTTACTTTAGAAAAGAGATAATGAAGTAGTATTAATCACAGTTTTTTCTCTATTTCTTATTGATGCTAATAATCATTTTAACATATAATATGAGTCTAGTGGAAGGTGGTAATATCAGATTGATTTAATAGACTTTAAATGTAATTATAAAAGGTAGTTAGTCTTTTAATTTATGGTTTTTAATTTGCTTAATTGTTTTTATATAAAATCTAATAAAGATTTAGTAGTATTGTATCTATACATGAAGTCGAAATTAATTATTTCGGATATCCGAAATGGTCAAAATGGTCAAAATTAATTTTGACTATATGTTAAAAAAATTTAAAAGTCGAAATAAATTATAATGGTCGAAATACATTATGATGGTTGAAATATATTATGATAGTCGAAATGTATTATGATGATCGAAATGTATTATGATGGTCGAAATGTATTATAATGGTCGAAATAAATTATGATGATCGAAATGTATTATGATAGTTGAAATGTATTATGATGGTCGAAATGTATTATAATAGTTGAAATAAATTATGATGGTCGAAATGCATTATGATGATCAAAATGTATTATGATGGTCAAAATGAATTATGATGATTGAAATAAATTATGATGGTCGAAATGTATTATGATGATTAAAATGTATTATGATGATCAAAATAAATTATAATAGTCGAAATAAATTATGATAATCAAAATACAATATAATAGTTAAAATATATTATAATAATTCAAGTATATTAATAAATTTAT